ATTTGGCCATATTGCATGCAAACGCATTCTTCTCATGAACTAAGAAAAGAATATGAACCACATGTATTTAGGAGTATTCCCAGGTGGTCGAGATTCAAATTTATACAACTGGAGGGGATGTCCTTAGTGCGGAAGGCTAGGGGCTGCGGGAGCTGATATAATTTCCCTTTGCATGTTTTTCTACCTTTTATTGGCTTTAAGGTTCGTTTAGAACTCAATAAATAAATAAAAATATTTAGTAAATGGCAAATCTATTGTTGCACAATTGTTACACAGGGGATGGCTAAGTCTTTATACAATGTATGTGTACAGTGCGTTTGGCGAGTGCCCTAAAGTATCAGATCATGAACACACCAAAATAACACCACACTTGGTCACCTTACTCTGATGATAGGCTAACCAGTGTTTTCCAGACAGACACAAACGAAAACACAAAAAAAAAATTGTGTGTGAACGCAAGGCAGTGACCTCGTTTTATTTTAAAAGGACGACTAGTCATATTATATTACCGTTCTTATCTTGATCGTGTGGACAACTACTGTACGTCACTGTCCTTACTGTCTTAACACCTGTCCCTGTTCCAGGATATCATAACCGTTCGGGTCGATTAATGTGGAGCGTTCATGAGTAGATGCGAGTTTCTCTAGGTTTCCTTTGCTATTGTTTCCTAGCTACAGAGAAAGGATACGAGTTTGTCTTTGCCCGTTCCTGGAAGGGTCATTCATACATTACCCATTGTTTTTTTATTGAAACGTGCAGACGAGCCTCAATGCATACCATGTCACGAACCATTAACAGTAAAACACTTGTTATTAGATTGCGTTGACATTCAGCCAGTTCGAACAAATTTCATTGATAACGTTACTTGTTTTGAATCTCTTTTCGAAACCATTTCTGTCTCTACAATTTTAAACTATGTGAAAGCTGTTGATCATTTTAATAAAATATGAGTCACCATAGCCACTTTTAATATTCAAGCAGATGTTTGTCTTTTATCTTTACGTTTGTAAATTTCTAGTTGCTCATCTTTCATTTAAACGTCTGTGTCACTTTGGATACAAAATGTATACTGTAAACCTACTGCCGTGTTGCAAGTTATGACTACATCCTGTTAATGGTCCTCAAATACCATAAACAGCTTTCTGAACTATCACATACCGCCGTCATTAGCTTATTGCAACATTTTATAACTATGGACTTCTATGCTGGTGAATATGACATGATATGCTCCTGACAAAGGGTTTATAAGTACATGTTATACCACATCGTTGTGACCACTACATATGTCGATAGCTGTAACATTTGTTCAGATTTCCAATACTCTTCCAAAACAAAACTCACAAATCATCATTAAATGATTATGAGCTGAGTAACTAGTAACACGTGGATGCTTTTGATTCATACGACTAACGAAAGCAATTAAATTGGCATTAAAGTGTTCTGAATGTCGCCATCGTGACCTGAGATATACCCAGTACTGTAAACAGATAGATAATGAAATGAAACGCTGATACATATTATTTATACATGTCTGTGGTCACACAAATATACGTTATGTTGACATGTAAGATCGGTAATGATATAGCTATGGCGTGCAGGTTTTACGGCAACACAATAGAACTGATATTAATTAACTTTTTTTATATTGTTTGAAATTCTGGTAACGTGGTTTTTCAATACATGTATTTTTCCGCTTTTGATTTTATCGATGTAATAGAATTTCAATAAAACATGATGATGCATGATTAATTGTGTATATTACAGGTATGCTGATTGAGTTGTAATTGTGATATCACTCGGTTAATTAAATTTCCGTTTGACGATGTGATTGATTTCTATGAAAAAACAAATCTACAATCGAATGGAATGACATATTGCACTATGTATGGGTGCGATGCAATTATATGTGAATAAAGACAGCTTTAATTCAACGACTGGTATTTTATATTCTTCGGTAAAAAAACATACCATGCTCTTCTGATTGTGAGTTTTTTTTATATATATATCACAGTTGTAAATTAAAGAAAGTTTCAGATTTTACAGCAACACGTCATGTTGACGTTGAAGCATCATATTGTGTTTCGTTCTACGTGATATTTTGGTATATTTTATCATTGTGTATGATGTGATGTTTGCTTCTTCTTTGTGCGCTGAGAGTGCTCTTCTAATAATTTTCGGCTATATCATTGTCCAATGTCGATGTCCTAACGTGTTGCACGATGTTCGTGTTCGTTAACAACGTTCTAGTGTCCTGATGACATCCTTGTGTGATGACGATACCCTTGTGTGTTGACGAGACACTTGTGTGTTGACGATATTCTTGTGTGTTGACGATATTCTTGTGTGTTGACGATACTCTTGTGTGTTGACGATATTCTTGTGTGTTGACGATACCCTTGTGTGTTGACGATATTCTTGTGTGTTGACGATAGCTTTGTTTGTTGACGATATTCCTGCATGTTCACGATAGCATTTTGTGTTAATGACAATCTTGCACGTTGACAATAACTTTGTTTGTTAACGATATACTTGTGTATTGAAAATATTCTTGCATGTTGACTATATCATTGCATGTTGACAATATCGTTGTGTGTTGACGATATTCTTTCATGTTGACGATATCGTTATATTTTAACGATACCCTTGTGTGATGACGATATCATTGTTTGTTGACGATATTATTGTGGGTTGACGATATCCTTGTGTGTTGACGATATCCTTGTTTGCTGACGATATCATTGTTGGTTGACGATATCCTTGTTTGTTGACGATATCCTTGTGGGTTGACGATATCGTTGTGTTTTTTCGATATCGTTGTGTGTGTTAACGATACCCTTGTGTGTTTACGGTATCATTTTATGTTTTACGATGACCATGTGTACTGACGATGTCCTTTTGGGTTGAAGAATTCTCTATATGTTGACGTTATCCTTTTGTGTTGACGTTACCTTTGGTGTTGACGATATTCTTGTGTGTTGATGATGTCCTTGTGTCTTTATAATGTTCGTATTTGTAATATCATAGTGTGTTGACGATGTCCTTGTGTAAGACGATGTCCTTGCGTTTTGAGGATATCATTATGTGTTTACGATATCCTTTTGTGTTTACGATGTCCTTATGTGTTGACGATATCCTTTCGTCTTGATGATTTTTTTTTGCGTTGACGATATCCTTTTGTGTTGACGATATCCTTATGTGTTGACGATATTTATTTTTTAAACGGTGTCCTTGTGTGTTAACGGTGTCCTTATGTGTTGATTGTATCCTTTTGTGTTGATTGTATCCTTTTGTGTTGATGGAATCCTTGTGTGTTTACGGTATCATTGTGTGTTTACGGAAACTTTATGTGTTTACGTATCATTGTGTGTTTACGGTAACCCTATGTGTTTACGGTATTCTTGTGTGTTTACGGTAGCCTTTTGTGTTGATTGTATCCTTATGTGTTAACAGTATCCTTTTGTGTTGATTGTATCCTTTCGTGTTCATGGTATCCTTATGTGTTGATGGTATCTTTGTGTGTTGATGCTATCCTTGTGTGTTTACGGTATCCTTATGTGTTGATTGTATCCTTATGTGTTGATTGTATCCTTACATGTTGATTGTATCCTTATATGTTGATGGTATCCTTATGTGTTGATTGTATCCTTACGTGTTGATTGTATCCTTTAGTGTTGATGGTATTCTTGTGTGTTGACGGTATCTTTGTGTGTTTACGGTATCCTTGTGTGTTTACGGTATCCTTTTGTGTTGACGGTATCATTGTGTGTTTACGGTATCCTTTTGTGTTAACAGTATCCTTTTGTATTGATTCTATCCTTTCGTGTTGATGGTATCCTTATGTGTTGATGGTAATCTTGTGTGTTTATGGTATCCTTGTGTGTTTACGGTATCATTGTGTGTTTACAGTAACCTTATGTGTTGATTGTATCCTTTTGTGTTGATTGTATCCTTTTGTGTTGATGGTATCCTTGTGTGTTGACGGTATCTTTGTGTGTTCAAGGTATCCTTGTGTGTTTACAGTAACCTTATGTGTTGATGGTATCCTTGTGTGTTGACGGTATACTTATGTGTTGATTGTATCCTTACGCTTTGATTGTATCCTTTTGTATTGATTGTATCCTTATGTGTTAATTGTATCCTTATGTGTTAATTGTATCCTTATGTGTTTATTGTATCCTTTTGTGTTAACAGTATCCTTTTGTATTGATTGTATCCTTTTGTTTTAACGGTGTCCTTGTGTGATAACGATATCATTGTGTGTTGACGGTATACTTATGTGTTGATTGTATCCTTGTGTGTTGATTGTATCCTTGTATGTTTACGGTATCATTGTGTGTTTACAGTAACCTTATGTGTTGATTGTATCCTTTTGTTTTAACGGTGTCCTTGTGTGATAACGATATCATTGTGTGTTGACGGTATCCTTATGTGTTGATTGTATCCTTTTGTGTTGATTCTATCATTATGTGTTGATTGTATCCTTATGTGTTGATTGTATCCTTATTTGTTGATTGTATCCTTATGTGTTGATTGTATCCTTATGTGTTGATTGTATCCTTATGTGTTGATTGTATCCT